AGATATGGAATCTCATGGTCAGTGTATCTCATGTGCAGCTACCACATGTCTGTCAGTGGAGACTTGTGTGTTGCTATGATGCTAAATAGGCTTGAGCAGAACTTCCAGACTAGGACAAACTAGGAAGAAAGGCCTGGCGATCTACTTCTGAAAATCAGTCAGTAAAAACCCTATATGGATCTACAACTGATCATGAAAATGGCAGAGGATCAGGAAGTGTTTTGTTCCATTGTACATGAGGTTGCCGTGAGTCAGAGACCAACTCTACAGCAGCTAACGACAACAAAAGCTGTTTTACTCCCTTTATAAATGAAGGTAAGTTAAGCAGAGAAAAGGTGAAAACTTGCAGGCAGACAACATTAAGAGTCCTCTATTAGCTTCAAAATAATAAAACCCTTGGGATAAATTCAAGGATCACAGAACCATATAGCACTATTAACAGATCTACAGTGTCCCTGTCACCTGGGAGCTTATTAGAAATTCAGGACTGTAGGCTCCACCTGACTTACAGAATCAGAATCTAGACTGTTAACAAGATCCCTAGGTGATTTGTTTGTACATTAACACATGGGAAGCACTAGTCTAGTGGACCAGTCTGTTCCAGCCACTACTGGCCTCCATTTAAAGGGCTCCAAGAATCTCCTGGGAACCTCAAACCAGTAATTTTCACCTCTAGTTAGGCAAAATTTGATGAAAGTGTGATCTGGCTGCCACAGTCATCAAGTCATCGCCACTTTGATGTACAGGATTGATTGGACTGATCTCCTGGCTAAGTGGATGGTTTCCTCCCTCATCTAGTTACAGAGACATTCCTTAGAAGCCACAAAAGGGTTTAGCAAGGGCAATCTTTCTTAAGTGAGCAAGACTGATCTCCAAAAAAGGATATAGGCAAGTTTACAGGATCTTAGGTAAATGGACACATACCACTAGGAGTTAGGAAGCACAGTTTCCATAATTATTCCCAAACAGAAATGTGTGCAAACAACACAGAAGACAGAAATAGTTTACACTTTTCATTGTCTCACTCAGTAGGTATTTATCCAACTCAACAGCACTTAGAAACAACAACAATGTGTCAAAGAGGAAGCCCTGGTGGTGCAAGTGGTTAAGTCCTTGGCTGCCATCCAAAAGTTTAGTGATTCGAACCCACCTACTAGCTCTGTGGAGAAAGACTTGGTGATCTGCTTAGGTTAAAAGTGCAGCCAAGACAACTCTATGGAACAATTCTAGTCCATCATATGAGAAAACTGACTTGATAGCACCTAACAACAACATGTGCCAAACAAGGTACTACAAGTGGCTTGCACTTGATTATTAACCAAAAGGTGTGCAGATCTGCTTCCATAAAGACTGCAGTCAAGAAAACCCTATGCAGTGGTTCTAATCTGTAGTTCATGGCATTGTCATGAGTCATAACCCACTTGATGGCAATGGATTTGGTTTGTATGTGCCAAACATTAATCTGTGTGATGGGGATGTAGTAGAGACTAACATAGAAAAAGTTCCTGCCTCATGAGAGTGGAGTTTTCTTCTGGCTGGTGGGCAGAGACGATAAAAAGCAAGTATGTAATAATACCCAGTGCTGGTGAATCAACTTCTATTCATAACCTTATATAAGACAGAGTAGAACTGAACTTTAGGGTTTCTGAAACTATAAATCTTTACGAGCGCATATAGCCTCATCTTTCTCCTATGGAATAGTTGATGAGTTTGAATTGCTGATCTTGTAGTTAGCAACCTAGTGCTTTGCCCACAGTACCACTAACCATAAATAATAAACTGAATGGGTGGAGCCCACTATTTAAGATGATGGTCAGAGAAGTCCTCTCCAAGATGAAGACATTTAGGGACATACCTGAACGAAATGAGGGCACAAGCCATTCAGATACCTGGGGAAAGAGAATTCTGAGCAGAAGACATGGCTAACGCAAAGACCTTGAAGAAGATACATACATGGAGTGTCACAGACACAGCAAAAAAAGCCAGTGTGGTTGGAGCAAATTAAGCAGGAACAGAGTGGAATGAGATGGAGCTGCAGACATGAATGGAACCACATCACAGAGGTCCTTCATGGTATTGGAATTCTATACCAAGTATGACGTGAGTCATTAATAAGGTTTTGAGTAGAGCAGTGATGTGATCTGACCTGTATTTTAAAAGCATCCCTCCGGGTGCTGTGTGGAGGATAGACTAAAGGGGCAAGTGTAGAAGCAGGGAGGCCTAATAGGAAGTTGTTGTAACAGTCCAAGTACAGATCTATTTGTTTTGATTAGAGGGGTCATGGTGGTAGTGTGAAAAAGGCTCCAACAATTCTTGACTTTCCAACCAAAGATTATTTAAAAAGTTATGTTACCAGGAGACTGCGGTAAATTTTTTTTGTCTTGTATTCGAAACTGGCTAATGCAGAAGACAAAGAATAGAAATAATAGAGCTTCTCTGGGTTGAACAATGTTAACAGTATCCCCTAGGAATCAGTGTTATTTAACATTTCATAAATGATTAAGAAAAAGGAGTACTTTGAGACATGTCTAAGTATACAAATTATACTCTGCTTTCCACATAGTGAAATGTCAAGTCAATAGGGAGTATCTTCTGGAACATTTCTAAAGCATTGTAAGTAGTCTGGAAAGTGGCAGATCTCTTACCATGTGGACAGTGTAAGGCAGCTTACATAGGGAAAGACAATTCAAATGATACACTTAAAAGAAGGAACTCTGAACTACCAGAAACCACCAATAAAAGGGATCTAGAAGTCACTGTATACTACTTCTTCAAAATATCAGCTCTTCTAAAGTCCAAAAGGTCAGTAAAAGTTCTGGATGTCCAGAATAAAGAGGACACCATGTTGGGACTCAGTGTGCAGTGCTAGTCATTGCATTCTAAGAAAGAAAAGAGCCCTAGAAACACAGCTAAAATGATACAAAGGAGAGAGGGCCTTTTGTTTGATGGATTAAAAGATCATAGAGGTGACTGTCTGAGAGACGATAAGATGAAAGCTTATAAAAGCATGAAAGATTTGGAGAGGGTAAAAATAGCCCTTTCACACAGTCCCTTAATTTTGGAATTAGGATGGGGGTAATGTCTATGTAGAAAGAAGCATATATAAGAAGGTACTTCTTTAGACAGGAAGTCCTCAGGTATACTCCAGTATGTGGTAGGACAAGTGTTAGCAATAATAGGGGTTGGGAGGGGGAACAACCCATTTACCTCAAAAGTCCCTACTTCTGTAGAGGCAAAGGACATCTTCAGAAGGGCAAAAACCACTCTGGACTACCTCTCACTCCCACCCTCTGTAAATCACCATTCTATACAACCACAGGAACTATAAAAAAGAGCAAAACACTAAGGCATTTAAGGGATTTAAAATGCTAATAGTAAATCTCATTCGGAATACAAATTAGATTGAATACAAATTTAAAGGGTAAAAGAGTTATACTAGATTAATAAAGAAAATTACATGTGTTGGATGTATGTGTGATGTGTGTGTGTGTGGGGGGGGGTAGGACCATGGGTAAACCTCCTTAACCTTTGTTATTTATACCATGTTGCTGTTGTGTGCCGTCCAGTTGGTTCTGACTCATAGTGACCCTATATAAGAGTGGCTGGTGAATTTGAACTGCCCACCTGGTATGGAGCTGTAGGATAAGTACTGGACCACAAGGTCGGTTTGAACCGCAAGGTCATTGGTTCAAAATTACCAGCAGCTCCTTGGAAAACCTGTACAGGTTGAATGGCACTTAACAACACAACACCTTGCTGTTAGCAGTCCAGTGCTTATCCTACAGTGCCACTCCAGGGCTCAGTTTACACCAAGGAAAGCTCCTGTGTTCTAGCAAGAAATTATACTTGGGAGTTCTGGTGTGGCGCTGTAAGATAAACATTAGACAGAAAATTTGGTTTGAACATCAACGTGGCCGTTCAAACCACCAGGCGTTCCTCGGAAACCCTATACAGGGTGGCTAAGAGTCGGAATCGACTAGATGGCACTTAACAACAAAGTCTGAGTTGAAGAATCCTGATGAGGCAGTGATTAAGTACTTGGCTGCTAATCCAAAAGTTAGCGGTCGAACGCACCATACGCTCCTTGGGAGAAAGATGACGCAGGCTGCTTTCCTAACGATTTAGCCTTGGAAACCCTGCTATCTCTCCTATACACTATCAGCATCTGAGTTCTCATAGTCAGAAAGTGTAAAGTAATGAAAGAAACAGGGATTTGATCGTTTGAATTTTACCCAAAGCACAAATCCTTTAAAATTGTTCAGTTATCACACGTCAGGGAGACTCTGATGAACCAACCGTTACTCACGTGTTGAACAGTTAGCAATTCTAGACTATCGAACCAGTATGATCCTTCCTCACAGATGAAAAAGCAGGGCCCAAACCCAACGAAGAAGGGAAAAGATAAAAATAACCAGAGTTTCATTGAGTTGTTGTTAAGTGCCATCGAGTCGGTTCCGACTCATAGCTAACCTGTAAGGGTTTCGGAGGAGCAGCTGGCGAGTTTGAACCGCCGACCTTGAGGTTTAAACCGCTTTAGACCACAGTGCCAGATTTTTAACACTAAATTGTTGTTGTTGTTATGTGCCATCGAGTCGGTTCCGACACTAAATTGGGAGGTGTTAAAAATGGGCCTCAACTAACACAAAAGCCAGTAAGGGGTTTATATATAAAATACATGATCAAGCTCTCTCCTTCCAAAAAAGAAAAAAATGAATTCAGGAACCCAAGAGACATTCTTCCCCCAAAAGAAAACGAAACCCTTTCCTCTTTCCCAAAGGTTCTTATCTTCACCTGCTTGTTCTCCTCCAGGAGGGTAGGAACTTTCAGCTCCGCCTCCCTGCTCGTCCCAGCTCCGCCTTCCTGGTCCACCTGTGTGCCAGGTCTCTGACGTTACTGTTAGGCGTCAGGGGCCTGCAGGATCTCGGCTTTCGATTGGTCCGTCCGTTCACGGTTTGCACAGTCCACCAATGGTAGCGGCGCTGGGTCGGGGGTTGCCCTTTTCCAAGATGGCGCCCCTAGGCGCTGGGAGTGGGTGACCAGTGGCGGGGAAGCGGCCTGGGTTGGCCCTCGGGTTGCGGGGTCCGGGGGCGTCTCTCCGGGTCCCCACCTCAGGCCCGCCTACAACGCCTTCCCCGGGCCAGAGCAATGGCCTCCGAGAACAGCAAGCAGTTTTGGAAGAGGAGCGCCAAGCTGCCGGGGAGGTGAGCCCAGGACGCTGAGGGAGAAAGGACTGGACCAAACCCCTCCAGACCTAAGGTCTAAATCCCGCGGGCCTAGGACGTTTCGGGTCCCGGAGGGCTGATTTGGGGAATCCCGGTTGGGGGATCGGGGACCGCCTGGTGGAGGCAGGGCAGCTGTTGGACAGAGGAGCAGGCAGCGAGCTCTTGGGGACAGCTGTGTGTGGGAGCAGACCAGGTTCTGTGGGCGGAGGTCTCCGGAGGGGCTCCCGTCACCTATTAGGTGGTCGGGGACGGCCGTAAGGTACAGTGAAGTTGGGTGAGTCATCTAAGTCGATCATGGGATCGGAGGGGTCTCACTTTAGACAGAACTCGCACTCTGGGGTCTCCACCACGCACAGATGGTGGCTTGCACGAGGATAGCCCCTTGCACCCCCCAATTCGGAACCTGCGAATCTTTCTCCTTCACTCTCCAAAGGTTCTTTTCGGGCCGCCTGCGGGGGCGACAGGAAAATTCTTCAATCAAACCACACTTTTATCAAGTTGTCCGTTTCCCATTAAGAATTATTACAAGGTGACCCCAGAATCTGGGCTATTTCTTTGACAGCTCTCAAGGATTTGGCCAACCCTAGTGCCCTCTATATCCCCTAAGTTGCAATGATTTTCTTATACAAATGTGCCAAATTCTATCAATTTAATTTGTTTAGTTGGAGAGCAGACCTTCTAAGATACTTTTAAAAATGTTTCCCCCTTTTTTGGTGTATGTTGAAACTTAGCAATTGCCTTCTTATAACACTGATGTTGTTTTACAGTCTCAGTTTGTTTGGGGCAGAGTTCTGAGAAATATAAAAAGTAATGTATATTTTAGTGGTACATTTAGGATTTCTGCCAGCCTCGGTCAGCTTGTTGGTGAAGTTCTTGTTAGATTGTGCCCACATGCTACCTTTCCTAATTGATTTATTCGTTTTCTCATAGCATAATCCTTTGAATTTATGACTTTTAGCAAGAGAGAAATGAGGCTAAATAGCAGACTCATTTTATTTAGGATCCTATTAGACTTAGCGAGAATAGTGTGGGAACCAACTTTTAGTAATATACTATTAGAATAATACAAGAGAATACAAATGCAAAGATAGCTTCAGATTAAAGTGTTGTAGAATTACAGTGTTGGTGCTGAAGATGATAGATGTTTTTAGATTAGCTCCACTTCCTGCCAACTGATTCCTTTTCCTTCCTGGTCCATTGAACTCTCCAGCTCTCTCTAACTGCCATTGTTTGGGGTTTTCCATAGTGAGGTCATTTCTTTACACTTTGACATCCTAAAATAATCATCAGAATCAAAGAGAAAACTGTTAAATCAGAAAGGAATACATGGTACGGCTCTTCTATTTCTTCTGACTGCGTGTTGATATTGATGAAATTTTTTTTCTTTACCATATTTTCTCTGTTGGACTTTAAGAACAGTCAACTTTTTGTAAACTAGAAAGAGTAGTCTTTATTCAGTTTTTCCAAGTTTTGTGGGTTTCCCTTTTCATTTTGAAGAAGAATATAGAGGCAAAGAGGAAAGAACATTTGACTGCAAAAGACCTGGGCTTTGGTTTGGACTTGCTTTGTGACCAAGAACAAATCATTTATTTAATCTCTCAGCTTCCATAGATATGAAATGAGAATAAAAATACCTTCCTCGGGGTTGTTATGAGGTCTAAATGAAATACTCTATTTATAAGGAACCTGCTATTGTTGTTGTTAAGTGCCATCGAGTTGGTTCTGACTCAGAGACCCTGTATAGGGTTTTCCAGACTATAAATCTTCGTGGGAGCAGGAAGCCTCATCTTTTCTGGTGGAACGGCTGATAGACTCAAACCTATAGCCTTGTGTATTATAGTCCAATGTTTATCCTACAGAGCCGAGGTCAGTGTTTTTTTAGCACAGTATGTGCTGTTGTTGTTAAATGCCCTCGAATCAGCTCCAACTCATCAAGAGCCTGAATCAGGTTTCCAAGGAGAGGCTCATGAGTTTGAACTGCCAACCTTGCGGTTCAAACTGACCTTGCAGTCCAGTGCAGTGGACAATAGTTGCTCAGAAAATATTAATTATTAATATTACTGTTATTAGTAGAACAAGTAAACATTTAAAAGAATGTTTCTCTCAGATCCTTACTCTAATGCTAATTATTTGTCTTTATTGTTTATTCATAAGACATTAAAATGTTGGCACAATTCACAATAGTTTTTGCTATCTTGCTATTGAAGAGAAATGTTGTTCAGCACTATGATTTTTAGCAAGGATGACCCAAAGGCCCCTGGTTATAGGGGGAAATTAAGGTTCTTTTAGATAGAAAGGTGCTTTGACTTAAGGGACATGTTAGGGCATTTTTTCAAGAGTAGAACTTTGTGCTTGTACTCTTGGTTTTGGTGTGGAAAAACTTTCTCTTAGGTGGGAAACAACACAAATGACTGTGTACTAGGCCTGTACAACCTAGAAGTGAAACTAGTTTGGTTTTTTTTTGAAAATTGAAAGGTAAAAAGTCAAAGCAACAGCAGGCTCCTTTCAGTTTCCTTCACCATGACCAAGCGACTTTAATAACAACAAATAGGAATTTTATTTAATAAAAATCACCAAAGTTCAAAATGAGTTAAGCAGTCATTAAAAAAAAAAACAAAAGCAACACTTAGCTTTATTGAGAGACAATTCATATTCCAGAGAATTCACCCTTTTAAAGTGTAGAACCCAATTTTTTTTTTTTTTAGTATATTCAGAGTTGTACAGCTTTCACCACTAATTTCAGAACATTTTCATCACCCAAAAATGAAACTCTAAGCCAATTAGTAGCCAGTCCCAATTCACTTCTCCTTCAGTCCATGGCAACCACTAGTCTGTTTCCTGTTTCTATAGATTTGCCTGTTCTGGACATTTCATATAAATGGGATCTATATAGTATATGGCCTTTTGTGACTGGCTTCATTTATTAAGCATAATGTTTTCAATGTTGTGGTTGTTGTTGTTAAGTGCCATTGAGTCGATTCCTACCCATTGTTATGTAGGATGTTTCCACTGATCTTGTGGTTCAAACCAACCTTGGGGTCAAGTGTCTATCCTACAGCACCATACCAGGACTCCAGTGTTGTAGTATGAATCAGTAAATAATTTCTTTTTATGGCTAAATAACAGTTCATTGTATGTATAGACCAAACTTTATTTATGCATTCATCAGTTTATCAGACCTTTGAGTTGTTTCCTCTTTTTGGTTATTGTGAATAATGCTATTATGAACATTCATGTACTGGTGTTTGTGTGGACATACATTTTCTATTCTTTTGAGTGTATTCCTAAGAATGATATTGCTGGCTCATATGCATCAGATTAGACATCTTTTTACATTTTTTCAATATTCCTCCGAGTCCAGATACTTGATATATCAAATAGACTTTGTGGTGATGGAAGGCAGTGTATAGTGTTGTGGTTAAGAATGCAAACTCTGGCTCAAGCAGGTACTTGTATCCCAGTATTCATTTCAGCAGCCTTCACAATAGCCAAAAGCTGGGAACAACCCAAGTGTCCATCAACAGATGAATGGATAAACAAAATGTAGTGCATACATAGAGTGGAGACGTACTCAACCATAAAGACAGATGAAGTTCTGATACATGCTGTAACATGGATGAACCTTGTGAACCTTATGCTAATGAAATAAGTCAGACACAAAAGTACACCTATGGTATGATTCCACTTATATGAAATATCTAAAATAGGCATATGCCTAGAGACATAAGTTTATTAGTGATTAACAGAGACTAGAGAAAAGGGAAATTGGGGAATTATTGTTTGAAGGGTGAAAACTTTTGGAAATAGATAGTGGTTACACAAAATAGTGAATGTAATTAATGTCACTGAAATGTACACTTATAATAGTTACTTTGCAAGTCTTTTGTTATATATATATATATATGTTGTCATTAAGTGCTGTTGAGTCAACTCTGACTCATAGCGATCCTGTATAGGATTTCCGAGGAGCGGCTGGTGGGTTTGAATTGAACCACGGACCTTGCAGTTCACACTGACTTTGTGGTCTAGTGCATTATCCTGCATTCCCACACCAGGACTTACTCACCGCCCCCCCCCCCACACACACACACACACAAACAACCAAAGGACATATTCTGCAAGCCTGCTCCGTGGCCACCAGCACCTGGCTACCAGCACACAAACTTTCTCTTTCCATGAGTCCAGAGCCCTCAGCTGCTCTTTCTCTCCATGTCCTCATCTCTGTCTCCATTTCTGGTGTCGCTGCTTCTCTGGATAGGGTCCCACATTCCACTCGTGCTCTTCTCCTTTGATGGTCCTAAGGTTCTCTGTTCCTGGACTGTAAAATTAACTGCTCCCCTCTTTTTGTTACAAAACTTCTACTTTTACAGTGTCACTGAGTTCTTCCTCTCTCCCTGTCACATCCTATTCATCAACAAATCCTGTTGACATATCAAAATTTATTGCAAATCAGAACAGTTTTCATTACATCCACCCCGACTAAACCCAAAAAACCCAAACCCATTGTCTTCATAGAGACCGTATGGTACAGAATAGAATTGCCCCATAGGATTTCCAAGTCTGCAGTTTTTACAAAAGCTGACTGCCACATCTGTCTCCCCCAGAGTAGCTGGTGGATTTGAACCACCAGTCTTTGGGTTAGCAACCCAGTGCTTAGCTACTGCCCTACTAGGGCCCCTTCCACCCCTACTACTCTGGGTTAAGCTGGGTCCTCTTCTTTCCTTGACTGCTACTGTAGCCTCCTAACTGGTCCTCCCACTTCTCTTCTTGCCCCTCTACAGGCCTCACAGTTGAAGTTAGAGAAAAATCCAAACTTCATGGCTGGGAAGATAGGCCTCATTAAAGACTTTGATGTTTGCTCTAAGAGCAGTGGGATGCCATGAAAAGGTGGATGTTGGTGAAGCGTAGCACAATCAGATTTGCATTTATAAAAATATCCTGGCTGTCCTGAGAGAATGGCTTGGAGCAGTATTTCTCAA